CAACTTTCACCTGCAGCAGGCCAAACTGAGGTCACGCTCTTCAGACGTGTAGTGTTTTCATACATACATGTGATTGGACCATTTGTGACGCGTTTCTGTGATGTGATGCAGGTCTAAGATCCGGATCCGTGACAGCCGAGCGAAGCCCATCGACCTGCTGGCTAAATACATCAGCGCTGAAGACGATGATCTGTCGGTGGAGATGCATGAACCGTACACCTTCCTCAACGGACTCACCGCCACAGACATGGACGACCTGCTGGAGGACATCAAGGTGTGTGATGAAAGATCATTTTAACACGTGATTGGGCTGCCAGTTCAGACATTTTTACACAAAATAGGATTCAAATGTGAAGTAACAGTCATTTTTACCCAAGTTCAATGATGATTTTGATCTGGTTGTGTGTTTCTGGCTGCAGGTGTACATGGAGCTGGAACAGGGCAAGAACGTGGATTTCTGGAGGGATATGACCACCATTACTGAAGATGAAATCAGCAAATTGCGCAAACTGGAGGCGTCAGGCAAAGGACCAGGTGATGTGATGACCCGCACTATTACATTTACAACCTGTATAGCTGACAGTTGATTCATTTTAGAGTAAATATTCAATGTTTAATTCATTTGAGTTATTTTAAGTTATGCTATTATTAAATAAAGTGTTTTAAGATTATATATACAGTGTTATACAAATGTTTTGGATAATTTGGTTAGAAATCAATACCTATTTTCAGAATAGATGCATTAAATTGACTAAATAAATAAATAAATACATTTATAATCTCACATAAGATTTATTTTTCAAATAAATGCTGTTCTTTCAAACCTTCTACTGATCAAAGAATCCAGTTTCACCCAAAAATATTAAGCAGGACAACTGTTTTCAACATTGATATTAAGAATTATTTTTTGAGCTGCAAATTGGTATATTAAAATGATTTCTGAAGGATCATGTGACACTGAAGACTGGAGTAATGATGCTGAAAATTCAGCTTTGCATCACAGGAATAAATGATATTTTACACTATATTCACATAGAAACATTTATTTTAAATTGTAATAATATTTCACAGTATTACTTTATTTTTGATCAAATAAATGCAGCCTTGGTGAGCATTAGAGACTTTTTAACTGTGGCATATTTTTATTATTATTATACAGTAGCTTATTTAGTATTATTGTTAGATTCATGAAACAATGCAAATGTAAATGTAATCTCTGAAAATGTTACATAGGGGATATATGAATATTATGCAACCCTAATGCATTACGCTATTTAGTATATTTAAAGAAAGTCCAGTGCACAACCCCTCATCCATCTCTGTTTTTGGTGTCATGTCAGGTGACCGTCGTGAGGGCATAAACACATCCGTCAGCACAGACGTGCAGAGCGTGTTTAAAGGGAAGACGTACAGTCAGCTTCAGGCTCTCTATATGAACATCGAGAATAAGATCAAGGCAGGAGGCTTCAACCTGGACATCGGCTACTGGGAGAGTCTCCTGCAGCAGGTGCGGGTCTACATGGCACGAGCCAGGTGCGTATCAGACTAGTCACTAGTAACTGTCTAGTACTAGTGACTAGTAACTGTCACGGGCCTCTGGGGATTTTTAGAGTGATGTCTTACCTTATGGGTCTGTGTGTGTTTGTGAAGGCTGAGAGAACGGCATCAGGACGTCCTGCGGCAGAAGCTGTATAAACTCAAACAGGAACAGGGTGTGGAGAGCGAACCGCTTTTCCCCATCATCAAAGAACAGCCGCAGAATGAGCGGCCCATGTGAGTGATTTCACTTTCACCTGACCATTCAGACTGATGAATTTTTTTAGTTTTTTACATTTAACTATAAATAACTGTATTTCCAAGATGGAAGAACAATTAGCTGCACACAATCTAAATAACATTTTAATTGAACTGTAGTCTCAAATTACTAAAGTTATTCTTGAAATGTACCTCAAATATTTTTTTTAAATGTCAATAAATAATAATAATAACTTTATCCATTCCGAATCTAAATTCTGATAACTTTATCACTTCTGAATCTAAATGTTGATTATATGGCTGATAAATGCTAAATTACTATATTTCTGAGATAGAAATTGAACACAACCTTAAACATGCAACTTTTTTTTTGCAAATTGTTGTTTTTATATATTTTTTAAAGCATGCATATACAATACCGTACTTTCTACTAATCAGTAATGCTAATATGTCAGTGATTCCATGGTGATAGGAAATCTGCAAATATCAGTGAGTATATTTTTAATATATTAGAATTCTTAAAATATTTTTTATATGTATTTAGGCCTGGAAATATCATGGAAATTGTATCTAGATACTCAGCTCAAATAACTCAGAATTTGACTACTAAACTAATTATAAAATGGGTCACCACCTGAAACTGCACTATAAAATATATAATATTTCAAAATGACCTTATCACAAATTACTTGATTCAATGAAATGAATTACACTTGAAACATACCCAATTTGTGATTTGTCCATTTTGTTTCCCAGTAGCCCTACAGCGGCGGAATCTGTAAACGAGGAGCCGGGCGGCTCTCAGCAAGGTGACGATGGAGACAGACGGACCAAGAGGCTGGATGAAGAAGAGGGTGAGCGGTCTGGAAGGAGCAGTCCTGAGGAGAGAAAGGGAGGAGAGGGGGAGGAGGGAAAGAAAGATGAAGCCCCGGAGGCCGTGTTAACAGAGGAGGATTTGATCCAGCAGAGTCAGGCGGAGTACGACTCCGGCCGCTACAGTCCCACCCTCCTGCAGCCCTCAGAGCTACCGCTGGACACACACATCATCAACGCGGAGGAGGACCTGCAGAGACTCCAGCTGGCCCGGACACAGCAGCAGGTGACCGGTGCGTATCGCTCTGTTGCTTCATATACCATAGTCAAATTACACACATCACATGCTTCAAGATTTCGGTAATAGAAGTGCAGCAGGTAGAAAGGTAAAATATAACCTTGGAAAGTTGAAAGTAATGTGCACTTTCATTGTTTGAAATTTTTATAGATAATGTATAGAAATATATATTTTTTAATTGCCACCCTGTTCCATCCCTCTACTCCATTTCCTACTTTTTCTGCATTGTGTACCAAAAAAAAGGGCAACATTTTTAAATGTTTTACCATTTTTTTTTCTCTCACAGTTTTCCTGCATACTGGGTACAGAAAAGACAAAAAATAGAATGTAATTTCAACATTGGCCATAGGGAGGCACAATAATTTTTTCCCTCCCTTTTGTAACTCCCCATGCTGTATCAAGGGGATGAAAGTGCAGGAAATAGACTCAGGCATGCACTTAAATTCACCTAAAGGGTAAAGAGTTTGTGGATAGAAAAATATGTAGAAAAAAAAAAAAAAATGGGGGGTTACAAAGAGCAGAAATACAGGAAATTGATTCAAGGAGGCACTGAAATTCACCTTAAAAACTGCCTTTAATGCTTCCATTCTAATGGACTGATGGTTACAAAAGAACATGTTTAACTTGAGATATTTTCAGGTTTCCATCTAAAGTTGAGAATTTAACTTGGAATATCGCATAAAATATTTGCGAATTAAGCACTGTTTCCATTCCATGCAATGTGATTGGTTCACTGGTTAGTCCAGTTATCCAATCACATAATCTGTTGAGGCAAAATCCCGTCTTTTGTTGCGTATCAAGGACGGTTCCATTGTAGTTTATGCACTACAATTTAAATTCAATCCATCCATACATGGATGGAAACCAAGTTCTAAAAAAATGCGGCAACGTGAATAATGTGGTCAACACCCCTAGAGTTGTTTCGTAGACCTGTAATTACAGAAAATGAATCAACATCATGTCAGCCAATTGGAAATGAAGAATTCAGTAATCTTGAAGTATGTCACTGTAAAGATTCTTTACTGTTAGGAACGTAAAACTATTTTAGCGTTCACATTTGTAAACACATCTGTAAAGATTCACTCATGCTAATGCTAACTTGTATTGTCGTTTTTGAACAGGCGATGCAAATGAAAGCGCCGAAGATGCATTTGTGCGTCGTGCTAAAGAGGGCATGGGCGGCGACGAGGCCCAGTTCAGCGTTGAAATGCCTTTGACTGGAAAAATTTACCTGTGGGCCAACAAATACCGTCCACGTAAGCCCCGTTTCTTCAACCGCGTCCACACCGGCTTCGAGTGGAACAAATACAACCAGACGCATTACGACTTCGACAACCCGCCGCCCAAGATCGTCCAGGGCTACAAGTTCAACATCTTCTACCCTGATCTCATCGACAAGCGCGCGACTCCGCAGTACTTCCTCGAGCCCTGTCCCGACAACAAAGACTTTGGAATACTGCGCTTCCACGCCGGCCCACCGTATGAAGACATCGCATTTAAGATCGTGAACCGTGAATGGGAGTATTCCCATCGCCATGGTTTCCGCTGCCAGTTCGCCAATGGAATCCTTCAGCTGTGGTTCCACTTTAAGCGATACCGATACAGGCGGTGAAGAGGACGAGGTGTTGTATTAGCAAAGTGTTGAGTTTAGGGAACACTGAACGTTCATCTTCAAATGCTGTAAAATTGGTGTAAATCTAGCAAAAGTAGTACAATCTCTGTTTATTGATTTCATTAGCATCTTCCGTTAGTGGAAGAACAGGTTTTCAACAGAATAGACCTTATTATGTGATCCGGTCCTTGTTGAAAATCCTGTTTTGTACATTTCCTTAATTGCAGGCTCTTGCATTCGATTCCTTTTTTTTTTGAGCTTGAAAATGCTATTTTTGTACTATTTGCTTTTGAGATGATACAGTAAAGATTTACTCATTTTTAATTGCTTAACATCGTCATTTGTGCTCAATTTTAAAAATAAATTTTACACCTTGACATTTCATTTGTTGTTCATTGGAAAAAGCCATTTACAAAGAGAATTTACAGCATTTTAGGTACATAGATGGCATTAAAGTTAAAATGACATTTCTGCAGTACATTCATATAAAAAACACGCAACAGGCTGCATTAAACTTTGAGTCTAAGATGCAGTCATTTGACACTCGTCTTGGTATCCTGAAGATACAGGAAGTTCATTCTTGTCCATGTGAAATTGCCTTTAAAGGCAACATACTTGGATTGAATCAACAACCACGGCAGGTTTTAACAAGATGGCATGTCTCATTTTTGCCCCTAAAACAGGAACACAACCACTGAAAATGTCCAAAGAAAGACTCTAAATAGTCTCTGCCTCAAACTTCAGGGCTCGCAGTCAGTCCACCTGGAAACAAAATCATGTTTACAGGATGCCAGGTTCATAAAATGATAACTTTTGAGCATGAACTAATCACTGGTTTTGAGTCGGAGTTTGTTTGTGGCAAAAGTTTGTTTTGTAGCAAGTAAACTACAAGCAAAACTGTATTTTCAGGCCATTCACCCCAAGTACGATAACTATAAAGTTGTAATAATCATTCTAACACCACAGCTATAAGGATAACACCAGAAAATTATCGCCTATTGCTCTGGATACCATTATGGTTATCGTTATAGTTATCTTTATAGTTATCATTATTTTTAGTGTTTCTACCAGAACATACAGTTTGAAGAATCTGGGGTATAATACAAGTACCTGTTTGTGGACATCGGCTGGCATTACCATAACTCAAATTCTGAATCACAGTGCTGTGGAAGAAATAATATTACAGCAATCAGCAATATGCCAATATCAATATTCATAATGGTGTGCACAAACAATCATCACAAAAGTTTGAATTAAGAACACATATTTGCAGTTTCTGCATAATTTCCTGTAAAATTTCTATTTCATGTGTACAGTCATTTTACTTTTGACAAAACGATGAATTACAAAAACCTCATTATTAGCATGCATATTACTAGCATATTGGCTGATTATTAGTACTCATAAAGCACATATTAATGCCTTATTTAGCATGACCATATTTTAGATCCTACCCCATACCTAAACTTATCAACTACCTTACTAATTATTAATGAGCAGCAGAGTTTACCGAGGCAAAAGTTGTAGTTTATGGTTAGTGAATAGTGAGAACTGAGAAGTGGTCCCCAAACTAATGTGTGACCGGTAATTCTCACTAATTTATGCCGTAAAGCTTAATAGAATACAGACAATAAAGCAATAAAGACATTAAAACATACATAGTAACATTATGTATTCATACTTTATTTCTTAAGCAATAACAGAATTTTATTGTATTACAGTAAACAATGCTATTTTTTGCATGAGAAATGTGTTTAGCTGTCATTAAAATAGATTTGTAAATAGATTTATTTGACTTTTGACCTGGTTCTGTGTGTGCTGTTTATGGTAGAGCATTGGTCAGCATTGAGGTCCCAGCCACAGTATGGATCCCTGGCCAGAACACAGTCCAGACACGTGTGGTACCGCCCACATTCATTGATGGACAGCTGAACCACGCCCACATCCGAACCCACGTACAGCTGTTGTTAGGATGACATCACACATAACTTAACATAACATCTCTATAGACAATAATAGAAATTACAATCATTTTGACTCTTGCTTCAGTTGAACATAAAATATTCCTATAAAATTAATGTTAGCTGCTATTTAAGCTTTGACTTAGAAAGCCATTCACCCTAACTTTGGTGAACCAGTTAAGCTACAGGAATAAAATTAGCTTTGCTGAAAAGAAACAGACACACACAGCTCATGATGTTGCTAAGTGAGCAATAAACATCAATAAATGCATCTGCTTATTACTTTGGTGTTGGAAATTCGCAGTATCTTCACTGGCTCTGAGGGCCCAAATAGCTGAATCTCTTCCATAATGGCCATCTCGCTGTTATAATTCACAGCTTTCAGCACTGAACCACTCTCTGATACATAACAGAACACAATACAATGCAGAAGACAAGACAACAATTTCAGTTAAACACACTTACACAGCTAAAATATGATATAAGACACACCAATTTCCTCACTGAAGAACAGATAGAGCTTGTCCTCGTCCCCCTCTGGGTTCGATTCTCCCTCCCGTATGTGGGCCATGTGGATAAAATTTGGTTCTTAAATGACAAACAAAAACACATATTTCAGTTACTATCACCTTCCTGTCAGTGTTAAGGCATTTTCACCCACACTCACTGCTGTTTTTTGTGTTTTATTACCATTCTCTGTAAATGACTGTCATACCCAAACCACCCTGTCAGGCACTTTCAGGAAAGTCGTGGCCTAATGGTTAGAGAGTTGGAGTTAAAGTCGTGGCCTAATGGTTAGAGAGTTGGAGTTGTAACCCAAAGGTTGCGGGTTCGAGTCTCGTACCGGTGGGGATTGTAGGTGGGTAGACAGAAAATGCTGTAATGTTTCTCAATACAGCTCATATGACATAAGACACGACGGGAGTTTACCTTGCACACGCGAGCTACTCGAGAGACGTCCATCTTGGTGTAGGAGTCATATTCCACTGCTGTCTCACTGAAGAACAGATAGAGCTTGTCCTCGTCCCCCTCTGGGTTCGATTCTCCCTCCCGTATGTGGGCCATGTGGATAAAATTTGGTTCTTAAATGACAAACAAAAACACATATTTCAGTTACTATCACCTTCCTGTCAGTGTTAGGGCATTTTCACCCACACTCACTGCTGTTTTTTGTGTTTTAATACCATTCTCTGTAAATGACTGTCATACTCAAACCACCCTGTCAGGCACTTTCGGGAAAGTCGTGGCCTAATGGTTAGAGAGTTGGACTTGTAACCCAAAGGTTGCGGGTTCGAGTCTCGTACCGGTGGGGATTGTAGGTGGGGGGTGCTTTGGTTCCACAAACATACATTCGGTCATCGTTTCTTTTATGAAGAATTCTGATATAATTTTTGCAGTCATTCTAAATAAAAAGCAAACAGTGCATCCAAGTTGAAACTAATAAGTGGTGATATGCTGTGAAGTGAAAAAAAAAAACTAACCTCAGTTCTGACCAAGCAGAACCAAACTTCCGTTTCCTGCATGTTTATTGGTATGTTTGACTTTTACTTAGAATTTGATGTATATCTATTGATATCTGCTGTAATTATCAATATGAAGAGACACTGTCTTGCATGTTGTTTTGGTTAAACAGTCTTAGAACATCCTCAAACATCTAGTTGCCTTGCTATTTGAATAAAATATGAAATTCATGCAGATGACACATTTTCTATTTATGTAATAAATTAAGATTGTCCCATGAAAAGGTTTTAAAAGAGATAATTTTCAAGTACATTTTGCTAAGATTTTCAACATTTTATGTCTTAAAGCTTTAATAAACTGCATTCTGCCCACTCGGATAAATGAATACACTTATCAAAGTTATCAAAGTGTGCATATCTGCTAATAAAGCAAGACAAAAGTCTATAATAAAAAACATTAAATGCTGTTGCCAGGAATGCATTGTTTAAAAACATATATTAATGAGCACAAAAGATGTGAAAACTCACTGTAGCATCTTTTCCCTTATTGGAACAGTCTATTTGCTCCTTATTTGTGACTGGCCAATTCACCTGTGGAGAATCAATACAATTTACCATCATCCATATATATACAAAAAACTCAGTCTGCAGAATATCATTAAATGGATTAGCAAACAAATAAGTTTTTGTAAATATGCATTTAAGACCTCACCGTGGCCTTTTTGACTGTAATGTCATCAAGTTCGAGGGCAAAAATGGCCTCCCTGGCACCCAGGATGAGCATGTTGAGATCTTCCCTCAGAAGCATAGTGGTGTAGTTCCAAACACCCTCCTCGCGAAACAAACGTCCTCCATTACCTAGCAACAAATGAAGGCCACAGTCAAGGGCAGGAGTAGCTAAAGTTTGCCAAAAATGGAAAAGTCACACACAGAACAACTAAACCTTGTTCGAAGAAAGAATTGTGGTCCATATCTTCTCTAAGCAATCAAAACACATTTAAACATAAAATAAATAAATATACAAAAATAAAAAAATGATATGATTTAATGTTATTACCATGAATATTGACACACAATGGAAAAAAAAAAAAACCTTACTTTGGACACTAGCATGGTAGTAATACCATAATAGTCTTTAAAGCACCTTTATATATGAATATGTAAATCAAACATCAAGCACCATGGCATACAGTGGCTTTAACCCAAATTGTTTGCAGATTCCACCTTTTGATTTGATATTTTGTATCTAATGCACATAATTCAAACATTTTAGGTTACCAAATATTTTTCACTTTAGACCACTTTACATCAAAGTACATTGGTATTTTGTAATGACGTCCAAACATAATTATCATAAATTCAACTTACTACTAATTGGCACTGTTTTGCGAGGTATGGTATTCGGTGTCGATCCCAATCCGCCGGTCAGCGTTGCTGGACTCCAGATGTAAAACACGCAGAGCACAGCCAGCAGAAACATCATTCAGCGCTCCAGTAAAAAAATCAGTAAGTGATTTTGGTATAAAGATGGTGCGAGTGCTAGATTCCTGTGTCGTCTGTCTGTCAGAGTTTTCTCATCCTTGCTTCAGTTCGGAACGCTTCCATACTGAGATATATGACTTTAGCTGCAAAGAACCATGTGAGGCCATCTGAAAGAAAGAGAGAGAGTGTGAACAGGCAGGGGTGCTGGCAGCAGTATTTCTGTCACTGCTATAGTGATGCTAATGCGGAGGATGAAAGCTTTTACTCTAGGACCTTGACAAAGACACACGGTTCTGCTTTTCAAAGAATGACATAAAAGCCAGAATAGCTCATCAACACCCTTCCCACATCCTGAGGTATGCCTTACAAACCTCATGAAATATTTTCACATGTAGCACAGACAATTGAATGTAGAATCTGAAAAGTTAAACAGTCTTTAATAAGTAATCTCTCCTTCCCAGGCGACAGGCTGATAAAAACTCCCAGGAAATATTTATTGTCTGAAAGCTGATGTTTCCTAACAGGCATGATGAAGAAACAACATACCATCATTTTGTAACCTGTGTTTGCAAGATGGTTGCTTACTAACCCAAAACCTGGGTATATGTGGCTTAGTCAATTTCCTTAAAGGGTTCATATGATGCGATTTCAAGTTTTCCTTTCTCTTTGGAGTGTTACAAGCTCTTGGTGCATAAAGAAGATCTGTAAAGTTGCAAAGACTAAAGTCTCAAATCCAAAGAGATATTCTTTATAAAAGTTAAGAGTCAGCCACACCTACCTAAAACGGCTCGTTCTAACATGCCCCCACATATCTAGGTCACTATGTGGAAATATTAGCATAATGCTGCCCAAATGTCTCCAGTAAAAAAATCAGTAAGTGATTTTGGTATAAAGATGGTGCGAGTGCTAGATTCCTGTGTCGTCTGTCTGTCAGAGTTTTCTCATCCTTGCTTCAGTTCGGAACGCTTCCATACTGAGATATATGACTTTAGCTGCAAAGAACCATGTGTAAAAAAATCCAGTAAAAAAATCAGTAAGTGATTTTGGTATAAAGATGGTGCGAGTGCTAGATTCCTGTGTCGTCTGTCTGTCAGAGTTTTCTCATCCTTGCTTCAGTTCGGAACGCTTCCATACTGAGATATATGACTTTAGCTGCAAAGAACCATGTGTAAAAAAATCCAGTAAAAAAATCAGTAAGTGATTTTGGTATAAAGATGGTGCGAGTGCTAGATTCCTGTGTCGTCTGTCTGTCAGAGTTTTCTCATCCTTGCTTCAGTTCGGAACGCTTCCATACTGAGATATATGACTTTAGCTGCAAAGAACCATGTGAGGCCATCTGAAAGAAAGAGAGAGAGTCGTTTGAGAGAGGCGGGGCATAGAGGACCTACAATAATGTACAGTATTTGAAAAATAATGTGTTTTTTGAACATTAAAGCATGTCAACATATTCTGTTACACCAAATGCACAAAATAATGATCCTTAAAATAGCATCATATGACCCCTGTCCTCCATACAAACAAACCCAAAACAAAACATTATAGGCTCAAGTTTAATACTTGCAACATGCAATAATGTAATGAGAGGAAATGTTAATGCATGACAAATTTTGATTTTCAACCAGTCAAACAAACCATATCCTGTCCTATTGAAACCACTAACACGTTGTCAGTAAAGTGCTGCTAATTTTGACAGAATGACTGCATTGCAAGCAAAGTACGAATGCACTGTCAATGCACGGCTTTGGAAGCCTCTAACATCTGGAAACACAAGTACTCAGTGGTGCATTTATTATCTGTTTGCAGTGGCATATGTTTACTACATTGCTAAGAGCATGATTATGGCATGTCAAGAGAGATGCGCTGTAGCATGAGCGTAGATCTGATCAGATACCACTCATATTTCACCATGCCACGCACTTGTAGGCACATACTTACTTTTAAATAATCGTGGGGACTTTCTACCCTACTAGCTGCTAATATAGGCCAAATAAATGACCACAGCCTAACACACTGCTAGCCCTAAATTACACATTTTGGGAGTTTTTATTTTTTAAATACAGAATGAGTCAAATATTATTTAATCCCTTAAGTGAATCATGTTATATTTAAGGACACTCATATAAGGAAGAGAGAGGCATTAGGAGAAATGTGCGTATGTAGATATACACACAAACTTACGATTTGTATCTACATTGTATGCTTATACAATGCGTTTTATCTATTTGACAAGTTGAAATATGACAAATGACAAGAATTCTGAATAGCTTACTAGAAATACCATAAATAATAAGAGTAGTATCTTAATATTCTAGTAGTTTATTCTGAAAAGAGTGCTTCAGGAATGAGTCCTAAAATTTTTTCAACCTCCGGTTCCATCGTGTTTTTTGTTAAATGCCCGAAATAACGTAAGCTGAAGATTTATTCCACGCCATACAATAAATCTGTTTTTTGATTTTATTTTTTAAGCTTTTATTAGTCTTGAAAAAGGCGGCTGCTGACAGTTGGCTAAGTGGGACTACAGAGGTTGTTGGGACATTAAATGTAATTATGTTGAACAGGTAAACTCATCGACTCACTAGTTCACTTTTACAGCCTCTTTTTTGCTTAGAATTGTGCTTTTGCAAACTATTTCAGCTCAAACTTCACAACTTTAGCTTTTTACTTATACCAACTGTAATTAGACTTGGCGATAAAAGTTGTGCTCATCTGTGGAGATTATTTTGATAAAACAAAATGCTTAGGAATCATACAATTTTGTTGGTCAGAGAGAACTTATTTTCTGCAATAAACTTGGCAAAACCCACCATGTTATTACAGTACAAATATAGCATTTTTGGACTATATATGATGGTAATCTTTTAAGTACTGTACAGTGTTATTTACAGTGTTATTATTGATAACTAAAACTATAAAATTTACATAGATGAAAAACTTGAATTTAAACATTTAAATTTAAATGAAACTATTAAATTAAAATACTACTAAATTACTAGAAAATAAGGCTATATACAGTATATATATACAAAGTAAATATATAAAAGAAAAGTACAGTGTGCGATCAGTGAACGCCTCTGTAAACCTCACACAAGTGAAAACAGATCAGCTGTTTCCACAAAATGCATTTCAGTACTGGTCTCAGTTCCTTTGAAAATAAGTTTTAAATGCAGCAATGGCTGAAAAATGTGGGTTAAGCAGCAACTCACCATGCAACCAAATTCTCAGTTAGTCTCTCAGTTCTCCTGTGCTCGCATGAGTGGATCCTCTTCAAACACACACACATATATGCAGTGCAAAACAAATCAAAAGTGGTCTAAGTCTCAAAGGCAGCAGAGTGTGTTGAGAGTCATGGTTCTGCAGTGAATGGAGCTCATGGTGTCTTCTGCTCTGTGTGAGAGAGCATTAAACTGCTCGGATCCTGCAGAGTGAAGTCAAAGACATTCTTCCACTGGAGAGAAAAGAGAGAGAGAGGAAAAAAAAAACATGCTTTTAGAAGCTCCTCAATCTCAAACAAGTCACTACAAGTGACAGCAAGAGAGTGTGTGTTGCAGAAAGAGGAGGAGTGTAGGAGAGGCTGTATTGTTTTCTGATCTGATTTTCAAGAAAACCAAGTTTAGTGCTGCAGCTGTAGTAAACAAACGATATTAATCTCTTGATTTCCTTTGTTACAACATTTTCAAAACACATTTTGCACTGACATTGAAGAAGAAAAAAAAAAGATTTAAGGGTGTTCTCACCTCAGCGTCTTTGCTCATTGCAGTTTCTGCTTCCATCCAAACTTGTTTTTATGTTCATTATGATATAAATTGTTCTTTT